ACAGGATGACACCACTGGAGGAGGAAGAAAGATCGTTAACACACAGTCTGGAGTGCTTATGGAAATCAAAAAGCGAGCCACAACAGCAGACGTTCAGTGCAACATTTTTGTTGTATCAGATGCTCTACTTAACTTTGCCAGTAGAGATCTATCAAGTATTCAATACTAGCTGCGCTAGCAGTGACTACTGACGTAGTCGGTACTAGAGTCCACACATATGGTAAAGCATAGAGATGAATCTAGAGCCACCATTTAATATGCTCATAGTAGGAATGACTGGAAGTGGTAAGACTCAGTTCTTACTTAATATGTTAGAAATAGAATACAATAAAGTTTTTGATTATATTGTTATTATATGTCCAACAATAGAATGGTATATGACTTACATTAACTGGGCTCATATTAGTGACCGTGGAGTCATACAAATTCCATGTTCGCAAGAAATGATCAATCTAGTTCTGAAGGCAGTGTCCACCATATTTCGTGGAACTCAAACGCTAATCATCATTGATGATTGTGCTGCAAGTCAGGATGTAAAGAAAAGGGTCTCAGAACTGGTGCGCCTAACATTCTCTGCAAGACATTACAATATATCAGTTATTGTAATTACCCAATAACTGTCATCAGTAGCAAAACCATTCAGGGAGAACATTTCCAGGTTAGTTACATTCTACAACCCTAGTCGTAGGGATATGAAGGTGATAACAGATGATTATCTAAGTGGTGTCCCTCAGGAGACAATTACAGAAATTACGAAAATACTAAAAGATGAAAAGTTCACCGCACTAGATATACTCCTCATTCACCCTTACACATACACCATTAAATAAAACACCGCGTAATATATAGAAGATGGGAAGTGAATCTGAGGAAGAAATATCTGCAGCTGTGAGGGAAGTAGAAGAGGCCGCAAAGGCGCCGCAAAAGAAAGCAAGAAAAACTAAGCCCACCGCAGATAAGTCGCAAACTGAACATAAAAGGAATAAGCTTATCGAGCTATCTAAGGATGGTGTAATTGATAAGACCGCAGGTTTCATAAGAAAGTCCAACAAAGATGTTGTGGATAGACTTTACAGTGAGTATGAAAGTCAGAGGATGTCATGCGCAAGTGACTTCTTATCAACACTTATTATCTCAAAGTTCGCTTCCATACTGGGAAGTTTTAATGCGGTGGAATCTTCTGAGAAGCTGTCAGAGGAACTACTTAGTGATAAGCTTTTAAAGGATGACGTATGTTATTTAACTAGAATGATATCCCCAAACATTCCATTCATTGGTCTCATATCAGGTGGATGCACAACAGCTAAGCACGTGGTTGCCCACAAGTGGAATAAGAAGGGAAAGACTGAGGAAATATCCGAGGAAGCAAAACAAATCCTATTACATAGTGAAGAAGAATGTCTCAACTTGGAGAGCCGTACGATTGGGGAAACACCTGGGAAGGAACTGAATTTGAAGACATAATTAATGAACTGATTGAGAAGACCGACGCGAATAAGAAGCAGTTAGATGAAATTCAGGCAGCACTTGATTCAACAGAAAGCTTACTTAAGAAGAACTCGGCAACACTGACCTCTGCGGAGAAGGATCTGTACAACCTTAAGAATAAGATCATAGGACCACTCCAGTATGAATACCAGGCATTCAAAGATGATATGGTGAAAACAGTCGTAAAGATATATAAGAAATTACATGAAATGTAGTATTTTATTTGTTGTAGGAAGTACGTAGTAAGCAGCTGGGTGGGTAGAGGGAATGCTGATACTAGGATAAGGAAAGAGGGGTGAATCGCCCCTCTTTGAGAAAGGTTATAATACAACCACTCTTGTTAATTTAAAAGGGGTGCCCTCGAGGGTACCACCCTGAAGGGCCGGTCTTATAGTTTATTATAATTAGTACTAATAAATCAAAATAGAATAGCCGTAAAATAAGCCCAAAAATTTTTACATATATAGTATAGGGAAAGATGGAAAAACTATTCAGAAATCAGGAGTTGAACGTTAGCATAAGAACTATCAGGAAAGGTGATGAGATACTATTTCACGAAAAAGATGTGGCAGAGTCTCTGGGGTACACGAACACGAAAAAAGCTATTAGAGATAATGTGTGGAATATGAACAAGACGATGGTGAGAGAAATTCAAAGGGTACCCAGCCAGTTCCCCTTGGAAAAGTACCACCCGCAGACAATACTACTATATGAACCAGGATTGTACCAGCTACTATTTAATTCAAGACTTTCAACAGCAGAGGTCTTTCAGGACTGGGTGCTTAGTGAGGTTCTTCCATCTATCCGCAAAACAGGCTCTTATAACTTACCAGATAGAAGGTCACTTAGATACAACCAAATAATCCTTCTAAATGAAACGGACCTTCATCACGTAGTTGTGAGTTACATTAGAGATAACTACCCAGAGGCCATAATAGTACCTGGTCTAGGTGAGTATCAGGACACTGTGTCAAAGAGACGTGATGCCTGGAAGAAGGGATACAAAGGTGGTCAACCAGATCTTATCATAGAGAATCCTATGGGGAAGTACAAAGGATTTGCTATTGAATTTAAGTCTCCCAAGGGCACTGGAGTTATAAGTGAGAATCAGGATATATGGTTTAGGAAATTGAGGGGAATAGGGTACATGACAATGGTATCAGATGATCTAGTAAAGACTTGCATTAGAATCAATGAGTATTTCTCACTTAAGAAGACTGTAAGAAAGACCATAGTGAAGAATGCAGTTTGCGACGTGAAGACGTACAGACCAAGGTTTAATCCAGGTAAGTTTTGAGTTATCTCACAAGCAAATCTGAGTTATCTCACCAGTTATTTCACCAGTAGATCCGAGTTATCTTGCAAGTAAATTTGAGACATCTTACAAACAGATTCAAGTTATCTCACAAGTAGAATCTAAGATGTCTCATAAGACTAAACCCAGTTAAACCTAAGGTATCTTACAAGTAGAATGGAAGATAAACCTGAGCAAATCCGAGAACAAGTAACAAGTGAGAAGAAGAAGGACCCGAAGAGAGTAGCGGCAGGAAAACGATTAGCTGCAATCAGTAAAATAGCAAAGGAGAGGAAAAAGAAACTTGCGCAACCTAAGGAGACATCAAGTAATGAAAGTATGATTACCTACATAGGAGTGGCCATTGCACTGGTATCTCTAGTGCTAGCATTCAAGTCGCATCAGAGGGAAACCAGGGAACCGGAACCCAAGCACGTAACTGAGACTGTCGAGATAACTAGGAAAGTTGACGAGTCCAAGTTAGATTCACTTGAATGATACGTTAAACATAATATATATTATAGCAAGATGAGTAAAGAATCAAAGATGACCGCGGAAGTGTACAACGCAGTGTTACTTACAGCAGGAGCAGTTGGTATATCAATGGCATCGAAAAAACTATTAAAAGAACCGTTGGGGACCCCAGAGAATGTAAAAGGAATGGTAAAGCTAGCTGTCTCAGTTAGCCTTTTATCCCTACTAGTATCTTACTTGAAAGATAAGAAGTATATACCAGATGATCCATTTAAAACCTAGGTAAAACTATACAATGGCGTCAGCAGTAGCAGCAGGACTCTTTAACGCATTTGCATTTGCTGGAGCAGGATATCTATTTAAAATGTTTGATAAGAATGGATATGCTAAGGAAGCCCATAGACATAACATAGCGATGGAGAACCTAACAGCTGAAAGAGAGAAGTACCTTGAAGAAGTCACTGATAGGAGAAACAGAATTGCCCAACTAAAGTCAGAATTGATTGAGGCAAATAAGGATATTAATGCAACAAACAAATCACTGGAACTCGTCAGAAGAATCAATGAGTTAACACGTAAGGCTGTGCCGAGAAGGCCGCAGTTAAGCAATCACTACAAACCTAGCTCTGAGATGGAAGAATATATGGCAATTTTTGGTTTAATTATAGGTGGGGTGGTTGGAGGGGCAGCTTATTTAATTCTATAAAAAATACGGTAATTTTCTTTTACATATATAATATAGAGAAATGGATTGGCTTGCAATGGTAGACGTTGACGAAGTGGTAGCCTTGGGAAAAAGGGTGGACACCATAGAAGAACTAGAGGCCGCAGTCAAAAAATATGTGGAATGGCGAATAATAAGGAGACGTAAAAATAAACCACAAAAACAAGCAGAAAATTTTAACACATATAGTATAGGGGATGGACTGGCTGACACTGGTAACACCTGATGAAATGGAACGTGTGGGAAGAAAGGCGAACACCATTGAGGAGCTAGAGGCTGCAGTGATGAAATACGTGAGAAATAAAATGAAGGTCAAACATACATACGAACCAGTATGTAGTGAATGTGGTAGTAAGTCAATTGTAATGATAGACGTAGCAGATACATGCACACGTTGCGGAACTAGTGCTATGAACAACTTCACATACTACGTTAGTTACAATCACAACAAGGACGACTACTTGAAAAAGAAATCGTCCCATAATAGAGTCCGTTGGTTTGAGAGACACTTATTCGAGCATGTTGCTTCTGGGGATAGGGATACCATACGGGAGAAGTTTAGAAGCATTGTAAGATGTATACAAAGACTTAGACTGCAACGGGGGCGCAACATAGTTAGATATAAGTTTTACCTATTAAGGTTAGCCAGCATGAACAACATCATGTTAAGAAACCCACCTGAGGACATTAAGACTCAAAGAATTGTGAACATCCTTGAGGACAGACTATATGGAAAGGTTTTCCCCGAGTTGGGATGGGAACCGGAAAATTGTAAATATTATAATAACTGGAAATTTAGACATAAATAAAATATTAATTATTGGATTAAATATAATATTAATTATAAAATTAAATAAAATATTAAATTAAATAAAAAATTATTAATTAAATAAAATAAGAATTATTTAATTAAATAAGAATTAAATTATAAAATAAAAATTATTAATTAAATAAAAATTAAATAGGCCTTAAAATAGGCCTATTTTTTTTTACCTATAGTATATAGAGAAAGAGTGAAAAATGGCGACAAACTTTGACATGAACAACATGACCGTTGAACAACTTATGGCACTTAGCGAGATAGTTGATGACAGCGGTATTAGTGATTTCGAAGATGAAGTGGAGAAGATAACGAATGACAAATTCTATCGAGTTGCACCTAAGGATAAGGGCAAAGATCCCTTTGAAGGAGAAAGCCAATTCATAGATGAAGGCGATCGTTCTACCGACCCTAGACGAGCAAGAAGACGACCATTGAATGAGAAGGGTGAGAGAGGAATTATGCCAACGTGGAAATATTCCGAGAGACAGAAGGCAAAGGCTTTGCTGGTTGAGGAGGCATATCAAAGTCTACTCAGTCAGGGAGTTGAGGGTTTACCACCAACAATGGGAGGTAGATGGAGAACTGATGATCCTCAAGTTAATGCGGAGATGAAGAGGCTAGAGAATATTAGGAATCCTAAACATCCCAGAGGAAGGCCGCCAAAGGCTAAATCTGATGCCAAGGTTGCGATTCCAAAGAAACGTGGAAGACCACCAAAGGCTAAGGTTGACACTAAGGTTGTTATTCCAAAGAAACGTGGAAGACCAGCAAAGGTTAAGTCTGAGGCTGAGGTTGTGATTCCAAAGAAACGTGGAAGACCACCAAAGGTTAAGAAGCAAAGTGTCGCGGAAAGATTCATGAGTCAAAATAAAATAAAACTCTCGATTCCTGCGGATAGTGTGATAACCCAGGTGGGACCTAATAAGTTCACGGTGACTGTGGACCTAAGCAAGAGACCAACAAGGAAAGCTCCTGAGGTGCCGAAAGGTGTAACTCCATGGAGGCCTGTTCCTAAGCCCAGGACAGTGTTCCCTAAAGAAAGACCTGTTCCTAAGCCTAGGTCTGTGTTCCCTAAAGAAAGACCTGTTCCTAAGCCTAGAACTAAAAAGCCAGTGCCTCCTCCAAAGTTAAGAAAGCCTGTGAAGGCAACGAAAGAAGTTAAGGAACAGCCCGCAGTGGTCACACCAGAGAAACATGAGATTGATCCATTTGGAACATATCTTGAGAAGCCTTCTCATAGAAAGATAGAAACCGCCGCAAATGGTGCAGCGGTGACTTACTCAATAACTCCAAACTTTATGGATCCCTTGGACCAGATGACAGCAAGTAGGCAGGTGGTGAGGGGAATTCTAGTGAATGAGTTGAGGAGAATGGGAGGGTTGAAATATACGGAGACAATTAAGGTGAGAATGTCCAAGGAAATCGGAAATGATAAAACAAAGAAGGATTCAGTGTACTTTAAGTCAAAAACTGGAACTGCAACTAACTTTGAGGATATTGAAAGCACTGCAGCTCAGAACCAACTGACTATCTTATCCAGAATTGAAACTTTCCAGAACTTAGGTTCAAATTGGATTATTCTGAACATTGAAAGCCATTACGTTAATATTGCAATGTATAAACCTCTAAAGGGTAGTTCATATATGAAATTACCCGCAGACATTAGCAATCCAAAATGTGGTCTTATAAATATGCAAAATGATGACAATAAATGTTTTATGTGGAGTCATGTGAGACATCTGAGGCCGAAGGCTAGGAGGGCAACTGCTATAACAAAGCAAGATAGGGAGTTCGCGGAGAACCTAGACTATGAGGGTATTGACTTCCCTGTAAAGATAAGCGATATTGATAAAATTGAGAGGAAGAACTCAATAAGCATATCAGTGTTCGGTTATAAGGGCAAAAAGCAGTTCTACCCAATCAGGAACTCTAAGACCAAATATGACGAACATATGGAGTTGCTGCTGTTAGGCGACAACGAAGGTGGTAATCACTACGTCCTAATAAAGGATGTAAATAGAATGCTCTTCAGTGTCAGCGGTAACTCAAACAAGAAGCACTTCTGCTTATATTGCCTTCATAGTTGCACTAGTGAGGAATCACTAAAGAAACATAGTGAAACGTGTATCAGCGTAAATGGAACTCAGGCCACGAAGCTTCCAGATGAAGGTTCAAAAATAAAGTTCGGACATTATAGAAATTCAATGCCTGCTCCATTTGTAATCTATGCTGACTTTGAATCTATGCTTGTTCCTGAGGCAAGGAAAGTGGAATCAGAGGGCATTGAGGAGAAGAGTACAACAGAACTTTACCAAACACATAAAGCTTGCAGTTTCGGGCTGAAGACAGTATGTCATTATGATGATCAGTACTCAGGTGAATATGTAAGTTATGTTGGTGAAGACGCTACAGTGGTCTTCTTGAAGACAGTTCTGAGGGAATCTATTAGGTGCCGAGAAATGGTAAATAAGATCTTCAAGAAAAAGATGGTAATTACACCAGAACAAGAAGCTGAGTTCTGGATGACAAGGAACTGCTCCATCTGTGGTTGCGACTTAGGTGATGACAGAGTTAGGGACCATGATCACGTAACTGGACTGTTCCGTGGAGCTGCTCATAATATGTGTAATTTGAAATATAGAATTACATGGAAACTTCCAGTGGTCTTCCATAATCTAAGAGGTTATGATAGTCATTTAATAATGCAGGAGATTGGCAAGTTCAAGATGAATATTAACGTAATTCCAAATAACATGGAAAAGTACATTTCCTTCTCGTTAGGTAAAAGTCTTGTGTTTATTGATTCAATTCAATTCATGGCTTCTTCTCTAGAGGCACTTGTGAATAACCTTTCACCTGAAGACTTCAAGATAGTCGGTAAGAGGTGGCAAGGAGAGGACTTCGATCTTGTAAGACAGAAAGGAATATTTCCCTATGAATACTTAGATGACATCAGCAAACTAGACTCTGAGGGGCTTCCAAGTAAAGACAAGTTCTATTCATCTCTGTATGAATCTGAAGTGAAAGATGAAGATTACGAAAGAGCTCAAAAAGTTTGGGATCACTTTGGAATGAAAACAATGAGAGACTACCATGATCTCTACCTGGAGACTGACGTTCTTCTTCTAGCGGATGTCTTTGAGAATTTCAGGAAGACTTGCCTGGGGAATTACAAGCTTGACCCTGCTCATTACATCTCAGCACCCAGTCTAAGTTGGGACGCGTTCTTAAAACAGTCAGGTGAGGAAATAGAATTGGTAAGTGATATGGACATGTTCCAATTCTTTGAGAAGGGAATGAAAGGTGGGGTAAGTCATATTGCTCATAGACAC